TGAATTAAAGGAAGCTGAGTGCATGGAGAATTTCCCAAAGTATCGAAGGAGTGGATTTTCACGACGGGTAATGAGTATAGAAATAATGATCTCCATATGGTTTGCTTATATTGTTCCTCTTCCTGATGCTCAAATACCAGCTGTTTCCATATCAGCCACAGTCCCAAAGTTGCAGGCAGAGACTTGAGAAAGTGTTACTTGCAGCAATAAGCGCCTTTCTGCTGAACACCACTTGAACAATAAAAGGGCCAGGAGGATAGATGTGTGTGTCCTTCTTGCAGCAAGAGGATTACATGTGTTTTTCAGGATAAATGTTGGACTTCATGCTTATTTTTTATATACAAAGCAATACTGTTGCCTTCATGGCAGTGGTGAAGCTACCTGCTCCCGCACTAGGTGGTGCACCCCGGGGATACGCAACGAGCGTCCCGGGGGGCAGGGGCGCCCGCGATGGCACCCCCCATGGCACCCGGCATGGACCACCCCCCTTCGTCCGCCACTGCCTCATGGTTGAAGGGATGTCATTACAACATATGTTAAAATTGTGTCGTGTCAATGGTGGTGGCGGCAGGGGAGAAAATCTCAGGTAAAAAGAAAAAAATCAGAGGCTCATGATTTCTAAAATAATATAAAATATTTAATCAACTAAATAAAAAATGGGCATGTTAATAGCATGTAAATAGTTTTAGCCATGCTTTATCTAAAAGTTTATCTGTACACTGCTTGGAGATTATTGTTATTTTTAATCTAGCAGTCTATATAAATTATATGAATAGAATATATAAAACAGGGATGGCTAATCTGTGGCCTTTCTGTAATGCAAATATGTTTAGGGTCTCTATGTGTTTACAAACGGCAAGCAGCTGTATTTTTGATATCACTATGCAGTATTATTATTTATTTTATTTCTATACCACCCTATACCCAAAGGTCTCAGGGTAGTTCACATCAAAAATCACTTTCATAAAATCAAACAAAAACCAGTAGTGTCTGGCTACTGTACATGGAAAAAACGAAACAACAGCATCAAATTCTGCCCAACATATCCCTCCTGCAACATGGTGGCAAGGCATTTCCACAACACAGCCTCCAACTTCACGTGTCTTCTCATGGCAATCACTGAAATATTTGGAAATTGTTTCTTCTGTGGCTTAGCAAGCAAAGCAAGGTCTTTGTTTTGTTTGTGATATACTCTTAAAGTATATTCAATTTGTTTCAGCATAGCTGGAATAGACACAAAGGAGCAGAAGGTTACTGAGCACTGTCAGCTTTCATTTGATCACTATGATCCCAAAGAGCTAACAAGGAAAGCAGACCAGTGTTTGGGGCAGCGTCTTGTGTCGTGTCAATGTGCTTAACACAAAGGTCAGACGGCAGAAAGGAGTTTGATGATAAGGCAGTTGGTTCCATATATAGACCATGATGTCTGGATGAAGCTTGAGACCGCTTGGCCATTGTGACCCCCTTTACCAGTGTCCTGACTGGGATGGTTGCTGCTGTCTTTGTGTTTCCAAGCCAGTTGAGTTACATTTAAGCTTTCTACTCAGGAAATTATTCTAACAGCTTGTTCAGCATACTGTTGTGAGTTGGGGAAGCGGGAGGTAGACTGTATGCCTGACTTCCTTCTAATTCCTGGATCCAATGATCCAATTGCTGGAATAGCCAGATGAGTTTCTTGGTAATGGCCCTCTAAGCTAAGGCAACAAAGGAAGCAGCCCCCTCCTTCCACTGTCTAATAGTTAGAAAGACAAAAGTCAGAGTTGAGGTGTCTGAACTAGAAGGAGAAAGCAGGCTGCAGTGGCGTAGCGTGGGGGGTGCAGGGGGGCCGGCCGCACCGGGCGCAACATCTGGGGGTTAGGATTAGGGGGCGCAAATCCACGGGTTAGGGGGCGCAAATTACTTGCCTTGCCCCGGGTGCTGACAACCCACGCTACGCCACTGGCAGGCTGGGCAGCTGAGAGACAGAGCCATGCCTGATTTCTGCTGGAATCCAAGGCTGTGGATGTGAGAGAACCAAGAGCTTCTTGGTCACACAGGGCATCACTGAAATTTGAGGCCCCAAGGTCCACCACTGCTGTTGCCTTCTATTGGTTCTTTCTTCCATATTGGGTTTGCTGACTGGCCACATCTTTGCCACTAATCATATCTTAATGCTTCAACCATAGTCCACCACAGACCTGATTCAGCTAATGCTGGTCAGGACCTACTCAGCCACAACAGGATCATGCAGACCATGCTGAAAACAGTTGAAGGCACCAGTAAGCAAATAGATAAAATACTGTATTTTCCGGTGTATAAGACAACTGGGCGTATAAGACTTTTCCAGTTAAAATATAGAGTTTGGGATATACTCGCTGTATAAGACTACCCGTCTTCCAACGCACACCAAATAAAAATAAAAATTGCAATTTAATAATAATAATAATAAAGTTCAGATAATAGTAAAGTTATTTATATATAATAATAAAGTTATTTAGAGTTCTAATTCAGTCATGTCCCTGTTACATCACTAATTTCATCATAGCATTCAAGCACCACTAGAACAAAATAGTATTGCATTTCACATTTTCTTGTCTTGGCAAAAAATAAAAAATCACCTGAGAAGTGGATGCCTGTAATGTATTTATCTCACCTCCATATCTCTCCTTTGTTATTCCTATCTATGTCAGGGAGTTTGTTTTATCTCAAAGATTTATGTGAACAAACAGGAGGGGGAAACCTTTTCAGTAGCATATAACAATGAAAGGACTGACATTACTTGATAATAAATGACAGAAAATAGTTAAGCGGGATTTATGCAAATGAAGACCATCCGAGAAGAGCAAAATGCTTATTATAAGCTGACAAGAGTCATCAGTAAGTGTCAAACAGCAGAAATAGTGAATACTTAAAAAAAAAGAGGCCTAGTAAAGGAAATACTATATTTGCAACTTAGCTGGTCAAATGTTTGGATAATAGTTTTGAAGCTGAAGCCATCCAGTGCCTTATTATCATGGAAGTCAAAACTGCTTGACATTCATATTGCGGAAGAAATATTATATTGTTCATATGCTGTGTCCTTGAAGTCTGAAAATGCCAGACCCTCCAAAGCGTCCATGTTTTCCAGGGATGTCCCTGATTTAGAGGAGCCATCCTGGTTTCTGATTTGATCCTGGGATGTCCCGCTTTTCCTTAGGATGTCCCTATTTTCACTGGAGAAATGTTGGAGGGTATGCCCCATCTGAAAGCAATCCTGTATAGGGAAGGTTTTTTAAAAAAAAGGTTTAATGTCTTGTTATGTTTTTAGAGTTGCCCAGAGTGGCTGGGGCAACCCAGTAAGATGGGTGGGGTATAAATAGTAAAATTATCATAATGGAATGGGACATCCCTATTTTCTTCGGAGACATGTTGGAGGGTATGAAATGCCTTATGGTTGCCTGGCTGGAGGAAAGAGAGGGATGTGTGAATGTGAGAAGAAACTATCCTACTGTAAAATGGTAAATTTTACATTGGATGCTCCATGCATTTTTGCCTCTGCCGCCCCCACCACCACTGTGTTAAAGTTATAAGTTTAATGAACATAAAATGTTATATTTGAATAGACTAAGAAGCCTTTTCCAAAGGCTGGTATTTTTCCATGAGATAAGCAGCCTCATGACTCACCTTGTGATTTTGTCACAAGTTGCTTTCTCTCCCCACTGAGCTCATGCTGTTGTAATTTGAGGAGCTGTGTGCGTTTATTTAAGACCTACGTGCTTGTCTATGTGTGAGATGCTGACATGCAGAGGAGGGAGGCAGAGGCAATGTGATTTTAGCACTGAAACTACAGTTGAGTAAAGATGCTGAGTATCCCGCTCTGGGACCAGAGAGAGAGGAACATTTAAGAACTGAAACTCGGGGCTTGCAATGTGTTGCTTTCTTGTTTTGTAACGTTTGTATTTTTGTACTTAATATTTCAGACTGTTTCTGCAGCAAAGCTTTAAAACTCATTTCTGCACCAGAGTCCAGATCAGGAATTCTGTTGCATGACTCTAACACCCTGAAAAAGCTTCCCTACCTTTCTTAGATTTCCAGAGCAGAATTCAACTCCTCAGTTCCCACCTGGCTTGTCTCCCAAGTTTCATCTCCCTATTGGGCTGATGATCCAGCTCTGTGGAAGGGATCCAGCTGAGGAAGGGATGAAACCTTCTCCCTTCTGCACACTTCCTCCTCCTGCCTGGCATTGCCAGCTTACTGAGCCAGCTGCTAGGTGTGCTTACCACCATAACAGCACTAGGGCGAAAAGGGAAGGCTCTTCATTATCTCCCATCGCCCTACACTCTGCCGCTGATCACAGCAGTCTTAAGGCAATTGGTTCATGGCTCCTGCCTTCCGACTTGCAACTACTCAAGGAGATGGCATTGGCTGTCAGTTTCCTCCTCCTTTCTCAGTGCTGTCTTTGTGGAACTCAGCAAGGAGGAAGTTGGGTGCAAACCCCAAATTAGGCTGCATTCAGACAGCATTTTATCCATGTAACACCTCTGCTGAAGTCCACAGGCTACCAAGTGCAGATGGAAATTTTGTGGTTAGAATTGAAAGCCCTAAACAACTTGGGACAGGGATCCACCTTGACCACTCTCCCTGACAGGCAACTGTACTCCTCAGATGGGCACAGCTGAGAGTATTATATGTGCAATAGGTGCTCTTAGCCTGTAGTAGAAACTAGACTTTTAGTATAACAGCTCCAGCTCTAGCTCTCTGGAATCCATTACCAACCAAAATCAGACCAGCACTTTTCAGGATTACATTTAGGTACCACTTTTCCTGCAGTGTAACAAAGTCATTTTATATCTGGTTTATATCTGGTTTCTTATTTGGTTGTTTTTAGGTTTTACAATTTTGAGTTTGTTTAAGTGACTTTATTGTTTCTACAGCCTGTTTCCGCATTTTAGTCTGTTTTTATCAGGTACACTGCATCAATGACTTTAAGCTGTGAAGCCATCTATATATTTCTTGAATAATAATATATTCATTATGTGTATGTGACAATTATAAATAGTAACATAGTGCCAATTAGGACACCTTTGTATTTAACATTGGCATTACCTCAGCCAGCTGCTATTATGCATAACAGATAGGTCTTGGTGCTATTGAGACCTTTCTATTCTGCGTGGTTTTGAGTGTGAGGTTATAGGAGCAGCGCAGTTTGTATGAAAGGACAGAGGCTATATCCCCAGAGTAATTTTAAATTCTAATTTATTTTACTATTTTTTTCACCTCCTTTAACTAAAGTTAGCCACTTTTGCCCAGTGCAGTATGAATAATTTGTTTAAACCTACCACCATTTCCTTTTTAAATGGTAACATTTATAAACGTGCAACCATTGTGCAACCTTGGCTGTGTCAAGGATTGTACAAGATTTCGAAAATTTAAACACAGTTCTTACACTACCACAGCAGCATGGAAGTATCAGCATTTACCCTACCCATGCAAATAATGTGAGAAGTCAGAGCCCACACAGAAGGAATCCACACTTTTGGGTCTTCCTCATGTCCTTCATAATTGTTGTATGATGCACTGAAGGGTTTGAATGGGTCACTTCATTTGACAGGTTTTTACTATCCTTCTGTTCCATTTCCCACATTAGTTTGCAGTTCATTTTAATGAAGTTCCCTTCAAAATGTACGTCAATCCCTCTATCAATACATATTAAAATATGTTTTTTCTCTCTTTTATACATACATATATATATATATATATATATATACACACACGAGAGAGAGAGAGAGAGAGATGCATATTCTTATGCATTTAAATTGCTAAGAAATGTGTCACAATATTCAAAGACATGCAAAAATTGGTGGGTAGTAAATTTCAATCAGAACATCCATCAGGTGCAGATCAGGTTATTTTCATACAAGAATTTTCAATGGTCTTGTAATTCAAGCGTATTAATACCCATTCCAGGACAATTCCCATATCTTACAAGGGTTAAGAGCCAATTCACACACTTCATGATTTATAGCTGAGTATGATCTTGACTTCCAATGGAAGACATTGTGTTTGAGGTGGTAGAGGCTAATATCACAATTTGTCCTGTGGTGTTATCTGTGATGACTCACTGATGCCATGCCAGTTGTCACTTGAGGTTGCAATAATCTGCTGATGAACCATATCTATCTATCTATCTATCTATCTATCTATATCTATCTATCTATCATCTATTTATTTATCTATCTATCATCTCCTTTGAGATAATAGAACAACTATAGCACAGCAATAAGCAATAAAATAGGCATGGTTTTGTGACACAGACCTGTCTATTTCAGTCTGTATAGCTCAGGATTAGCCATTATGGTGCCCGCACATCCCATCAGCTCCAGTCAGCATGGTCCAAAATATGTGGAGGACCCCAAGTAGCTTAGCCGTCTCCAAGGTATTTATATTGTGCAAGTTTAAGCATTCCTAGTTGTCTTGGACAACTGTGGTTAGGATTTAACCATCCCCTGCCAGCTTAGTCAAGAGTCAGGGATGATGGGAAATGTAAGCCAATATCTAGAAACTCAAGGTTGAAGGACACTGCTGTAGGCAATACTGAGCTAACTTAGCTAACGGTCTGGCTCAGTTTAAGGCTACTTCCTATGTTTATCGTTTTCTTCACATAATCACCTCTTCTTAACATAATCACCCTATGTTTTATGGACTTGCTTTCTTTGTGGCATGCATTCCTCAGCGGCTGATAAATAAATAAAAGATGCTTTCCTGAAACAGAATAAATAACAGACAATAGCACCAAAGGGGTTTGCCAAGGACATACATCATTCAGAGGTGTCTTATACATTTGGAGATAATACACAGAAATAAATATATTTAAATTCTTTGTAGATGAATAATCAAAGTCAAGACAAACGCAACGTGATTTATTAACAATGTGAAAGAATTACGTTCGATTCCTTCTACATCACAGGAACATTATGAGCTATAATTAACTAATGTATCTAAAGTGCTTTGCTTCTGTAAACCACTATGAATATAAGCTCAAAGTAATCCCGTTCTGTAGAAAACTTGACAGATGCAGTTAATAAAGGTAACCAAGCATGGTAAACATCGGAACATATGGGCAGAAGTGTAGCTAGGATTTGTTTTGTATTAAATACCAAAAAAACACATCAAGTCTATGGTTCTGTTGTCTTGTTTGTTTAAAGCAGGACTGGGAAACTGGTGACCTCTAGATCTTGTTGGACTCCAGCTCCCATTAGTCCAAACCAGCTGAGAAGGATGGGAATTGTGGTCCAACACCATCTGAAGAGCCTTTCCCTGGTTCCTCTTTCCCTGGTTTAACATGAAGAGCAATAGGAGTTAGGCTTTTTACAAATAAGGATGATTAATGCAAATGCATTTCTGCATTAAAGGAAACATTACTGTATAGTAAATTAATTAAGCATTTTAGAATTCAGACATATGATCAGATTGCTTTGGTTTGTGTTGCAACAATGTCTGTTAAGATACAACCAGATTAATATTATCATTTGCATATAGAACACCAAGACTGTTTTTAAATGCATATCCACATGATGTATATCACACATTATAGCTCAGTCAGTAGAGCACGAGACTCTTAATCTCAGGGTTGTGGGTTTGAGTCCCACATTGGGCAAACGATTCCTTCATCGCAGGGGGTTGGATTAGATGACCCTCACGATACCTTCCAAGTCTGCAGTTCTATTAGTCTAAGGTATAGTGTACATTAGTCTAGTTCTGCTAATGCAAAATGCAGCCAGTGAAATCTTTGCTTATGGGAAAAGTGGCTTTTACATCATGTGAAAACTCAACTATAACATGGAAATTAACAGCTAGGGAAATATTCGGGAAATGGTACAAACTAATATGTGAATGCTGCCTCAGATGGGCACCATCTCTCTTGTCTTTTGGTGCTTATGAAAGACCTACCTTTTCCAGCTAGCCTTTGAAGTGGAAATCTTTATTCCATTCTGTAACTGTCTTGAATTTGCAGTTGGTTTTACATATGGAAATGTTTTAATTGTTGATGTTTTGTGGTGAAATCTCTTCAAGATACTTTATGCAAAGCAATTCACAGACGAAATCAAATAAATAAATAAAACAATATTAACAAAACCTGTAGGGCTGCTGTTCTCCTGATGCTTTCTTACCTGATAATTTCTGGATTTTATGTGCTCTTTCCACTTCTGGAAATCCAGTGCAAATTTAGTGCTCATTTCCATGTTAATTGTGTCCTGGGGTGTGTGTGTCAGTTTCCAATCCCATTAACTCAGAAAATTGCAGGAGTTTTACAATGCAATTCCATGTGGCAAAATTTGGGGTAGTATCCCAGGATGGAACTAGAGACATCAAAGAAGCGTTTCAGTTAAACGCGTTATAAACTTTGTATGAGAAATTGGGTTGGCAAAAAAGCAACTCCACAGTGCCGTCTGGTGTCACAGTGTTAGAATGCATAAACAACACATATAAAGTGCTTTTTCTTTGCCAATGTAGCTGAGTCCCCAGTCATAGAAGCCAACTCCGAGGGGCCAAGGTCCCTTAGGCCTCCCCAATAAAATATATGAGGGGTCTGCCCCCCCAAGTTGATAACCATTGCCATTCAGATGATGTGCAGGCATGTGTCCTGTAATAGATTATGTGGGGTGGGGCTTACCTGCTCCCCACAATATTTTATTCAAGTTGGCACCCCTGATCCCAGTTTACAGTTCTTTCCTGCCATTTAAAATTTATCAATCAGAAAGCCACAGGTCCACAATGCCACAGGTACTGCAGTGTAAAAGGACATTAGAAATCAGAACCACTAGCATTCTAACAAGCAAAACTAAAGCAATAAATCCTGTCTTTGAATATAGCCTCTGTGATCATTCCAGCATATTACAAAGATTCTGCTCCAAATGCTCTGTGGTAAATATCCCACCTTACATGAGATATTTAATTCATGTCAATAGACTGCCCACCATTACACTGGGCTTCAAAATGTGTTGAAAATGTTTTCCAGCCTTTCTGCTATATTTTTGTTCTATACACAGCCATAAACAGCTAAGAGTCAGAATGACTTTGTGGGTGGTTTCTTGTTTTTTGTTTTTTTGAAAGCTGAGGTGATGAATAACAAGCGCTAACAAGATACGTTTGAATGGATGGTGTGACGCTGGCTCTGTTCTTTTATCTACACGCCACAGACAAGTCTGCCATCCATAAATAAGCTCTTTGTTTGATAAAGTCTCCTTGAAGGTAAGGAGAGGCATGTGGTTCACTCGACCGCATATTGCTTGTTCTAATTGAAAGCAAGTCTTTGCAAATGAGATTCTCTGCGCATCAGCATTTTGCCTGCATCAGTCCCCGATTCGGAGTGCATATTGACACCAATGAATCTCACGCAGATACAAATCTTCCATTCCAGCGCTGGAGCCATTTTAATGTATTTGTTTTGTTGTAAGGAAATATTTTTAATATGCCATATGAATTATGGTGGCTTCATGGCTTTGCCACCTTGGGAAGTGTGGGAGTTGCTGGATAACTTTAGTTCCCAACGGCACAGTAGCCCAGAAAGGGCAGATCACATTGATTTGGATAAGAATTTACAAGGATGAAATTCCTTAGTTATCCCTTAGTCATTTTGGTTTTTAAAAAATAGGTTTGACTTAATTTTAAAGCACACTGTGGGGGATCCTTCAGGATGAAGCAGCTAGAAATAAATGATGTAAAAATGATACAATTGACATGTTTATATAGAGATAGAGATAATAGACCCACCCTATTCTTTTTATTCTAAATTGTTATAATTTACGTTTTGATTCTGAATTGTTATAATACACCATGTTTTTCTGTGTACAAGACGCCCCCATGTATAAGATGACCCCTATTTTTTAAAAAACAAAATTAAGAAATTAAGTTGTTTAGCTTTTTTGGGGGGTGGGGGAGATCACTTCCACCAATCGCTCACCTGCCTGCCGACCACTGCCGATCGCTTGCCACAGCAACCGCCAATTGCACACCTCGCCACAGCCGCCAATTGTCTGCCCACTTGCTACCACCAACAGCCCACCCACCCACTTGCTGCAGCTTCCAATCGCCTGCCTGCCTCGCCACAGCTGCCAATCACCTGCCCAATTGCCGCAGCCACAGCCAATCACCAGCAAGCCTTGCCGCAGCCACCAGTCACCCACCCAATAGCCGCTGCCAATTTCCTGCTTGCTGCTGCCATTAATTGCAGCATTAATTCACTATCAGTGTATAAGACGACACCCAATTTTTGCCTAATATATATTTTTTTTAGCAAAAAGCATCGTCTTACACACGGAAAAATATGGTATGTTGTGAACTGCCCTGAGAACTGGGGAGGAAGGCAGGGTTACAAATTTAATAAATAATAAAATAAACAATAAAAAATTATTTTACACTATTGTCACCCTGGTGAAGGAGGGGTAAACAACAACAATAACACACCCCTCATTTCTATTCTGAAAATAACACTAGATGCTTGAGAACTCTAAAACATAGAAAGCAATTTACAACCCTTCAGCGAATGGTCCACTGGCAGGAACCCTGTGGAAAATCTTTATCTGAGCAGGGAATACCAGAGGTACGTTGGTGTTTCTGCCTATGGTAATCACACTACTTGGAAGCTTTCTCTGCCTACACCCTACTCATCATAATGATGGTCAGTGTGCTAGTAAGAAGTTTTCCACTTTCACTTATCAGATCTCAGTTCTTAAAAGTAAAAGAAAGCAAACTGATAGGCATTTTCTGAGTGTCTCTAGCAGAACCCACTCTTTCTTTCTAGAGAAAATTTTATTGTAGTACTGAGCTTTATGCCTTGAAAATGTCCAGCACAGAGGCAGATAAACTGATATTAAACTTGAGCAGACATAAATCAAGGTATTGTTGCCAATGATGACATATTTGGAAATGAGACCTTGGCTCAGTTAATATATAAATTGCAAACCATAAAGTGGAAAGGCTGGTTAGAAAGGAATCCTTCAAGAGAAGAGAGTAATACTAATACACCAATACACTAATACACTAATACTGATACACCAAACATATTAGCTAACATACAGGCACTCTAAACTGCAGTGGTTTCAGCCTTAAAGCGGCTTCTTCACACCAGTTATAAAATTCTACAGTGTAATCCATTAAGATCAATTAGACTGAGGAATGGGAAGCTGAAACTAACCAATAACCACAGCAGACAAAATTATTGCATCACTGAAAACCTTGACAAAGAAATATCACCATGAGAGTATCAAGAGAGGGAGAAAAGCTATACTTGATATGCGGTGCTCTTTGGTTAGAAATACAATGAGTTGTATCAGCATTATTCTAGGATTTACTAGAGGAAAACATTTTCCCCCCAAATGTTATTTTTGTTTGGAATGGGCCGAGTTCATCAAATATCTGAGAATGGGTACTCTCTCCCCCAACCCCAGTTTATACTGAATAGGCTTTTAAGATATAAATTCATATCAAAATGAGTGACTGGCTGATGGGGGAAGCCATTTCGTTTTTCTAGCATCAGAACATAGCATCTTCCCATATATGTAGCCATTCCTAACCTGAGACCAGCTTTCACAGCATGAGGTTTAACATTTGCCCTGTTTTCTGCCAGCATGCTGCCATGGATCCAAAATGAAGCTGTGCCCAGAGGGCAAACCTGCAAACACAGATCAACAGACATCTTTTGTTAAGTGACTAAAATCGTCCAGCAAGGAGATACAGCAGAGGCCTCATAGCAAAGGAGAGGATGGACAGCATTGTGTGGAGGACCTCTCCTAGATTACCTTGTCTAGTCTCTTAGTTAGGGTCTCATAATCTTCCAAGCAGGTTCATTTGAGAGTCCTGAACCATATAAGCCTTTAAAGGTTGCAACCAGCAACTGGGAAAATGGGAGCAGGAAACAGATTGTGAGCCAGTGTGGTCTGGCAAGAGTCGGTGCTATATATACATAACTGGATGGTGTTAGCAAAGTAGCTCAGATGGGGTGGAAATTTTGAAGTGAATACTAAATGGAAATTCAACATTAATTCCAATTTCTCAATTGCATTTTTTTTTTTTTTGCATAAATATTGTTACATTTTATCTGCATCCTCTTGCATGCAGAAACACACATCCTCTTTAGCCATTTCATCAAAAGAGATACAGAATTCAACACGTTTTGGATTTGGATCTGCTTGTTTCTGTCTTGGAGCTTCTCAACTGTTTTCCTTCTTGTGTTTAAAAAAAGAAGAAAGAAAATAATATTTCTGCATTCAAACTTAGCACCCACCATGTTCTGCCCAAATATTTTAAATACAGCTTTGTATGCAAATTGCTTGATTTTCCAGTTCAAACCTTGCAGAAATCAAAATCAAATAGGACATTTCAGAGCAGGTAGGAAATTCTAGGGATGTCGCAAACCCACAGTTTAGTCTTCCAGACTTTAAAACTGCACATTCCTCTACAATATTGAAAGTCCTCAAATTCATTTGAGTTTGCTCCATTGCTTCCAGTCTGAGCAGTCTGCTGCCTTCTGAATATGACAAACAGAACATTTGCAAAATGAGACCATTGCTTTATGGTTTATCAGAGAGTTGCAGATGTAAACATTAGGAAGACAGCATTAGGAAAACACTTGAAGCCACTCGAGCGTAAAAAAAAAACCCACCCCAACCCTGAACAAACAAGCTACCAAAATGCATCTTTTACATTTTGTTTAAATGTTTTCTCCCCACAGCATTGTCCTGTTTCTTAGAATTGAAGCTTCCACAGAGTCATGGGAATACAGAAGTATCAATCTTAGCATGTGGGACTTGTGAGCAATTTAGAGAGGATTTTTTTTATTTAAAAAATCAAGTATTAGATTAATTGAGTTTTAAAATAGTTAGGTGTTTAATATTCATGAAAAAGAACAAAAAGATATATTTGAAAGGCTGGCACAAAATACAAATAGCCCATGGCATACTCTCAGGATAAGTTAATTAAGTCACTCTTTATTTTCCAGCTTCTTTTTTGGGTAATGCTTAAAATAATTCCATGTAATTCCTGTTTTGGCAGATATATATATGAGTTGTGTATTGCTGAATCAGAAATAGATTGTGGCAATAGATTGAAATTAATGGGGATTCTTTCAGTGCATTAATTGTATTTCAAAATTCAGATCTCCTTCTCAATATTCAACTTCCCTTTTGAGACCTTTACAGCACAATTGTATGCATAGCGACCCAGAAGTAAGCACCACTGAGTACAATGAGTTTTACTCTCAGGTAACTGTGCATATGATTGCAGTCTAAGTTAACAAGTTCACATTTATCTTTGGTTAATTTTATTTCATCACTCTGGAGAAATGAAGTACACTGGGTGAACCTGAACCTTCCTTGTGAAGAGGACAAGATAGGGAGGACAGAAACCATGTATGCCATGGTGAGTTCCTTGGAGAAAAGGTGGTATATAAATGTAATCATAAATATGCAGATAAAATAAATTACTAATTGTGGCATTCGTACGGAGCCCCCGGTCATCTCACGGACTATTGACCCGTACACCACTAATCCGCTGCCACCAACCAGGTCCTCCCTGGTAAAATCACTTCAGTCTCAGTCAGGTTCTCAATTAATAAAGAACAGTGTATTTTATTTCAGACACAAACTTTTACGGCATTCCAAACGTTGTTGCTCTTTACTTTCTTAGTCTTATTTTCCTCTCTCTATCTCTTCTACCTCCCCACACTCAAGAACCCGCTGCCCTGTCTCTCTATTACCAACTGCCTTTCCCAACCAGCCAACCCACTCAAACCAACCAACTACCCACCAACAACTCTCAACGAACTCTTCCCCCCGAACTCCTCCCAGAACTGGTTTTATAGTCCCACTGACTCCACCCCCCTGGGTCCTGACTGTGCAACCTGTTTAACTATTTCCCCTCCAGCACTCTCTCATATATGTTAACGTCACACTAATAAAAGGAAAAGTGTTGTCTCTTTCTTTACACACACACACATTCTTGTGTAGAGCAAAACATGAAAACGCCTCCCAGAAGGCCTATAAATACCATCTTGGTAGCCAAGATAATTTCAGGATTAGTTGCTGCAAGAATGATCTCACATATGTTTATTCACTTGCTTTAAGATATGTTAATTGACTTGCTATGATGCTATGTGTATCTGTGGGCTTGGGATGCTTGGATAGCCGAGAGATGGGAAGCTTCTCGCGCTGGCTACCTGTCAGCTATTCTCTTATCTGGGAGATGAATGGGCGTTGGGAAGAGACCTCCAAGCCAGGGGTGAGTCAATTGGGCTACTAATGCCAGCTTATGTAGCTGCTTTCGTATAAGTAGTGTCTAAGTGCAGGCAAGTCATGACAACTGCTTGCTGCTTCGGCGTCCATCCCAAGTCTGTGAAGAGAACAGGGTGAGTTGCAAAGCACTTGAACAGGCCACTTCTGGCGTTCTTGACATCCGTCTTTGGTATCCCTGCACCAAGCCAGGCACTCACACAGGAGCTCCTTTGGGCCTGCGGATCAAGACAATTATATATGTGCATTACAGGCCTTCCATGTAGAAGAAACCAGAGGATTGTGTGTTGACACATCTGTTTGATGTTTACAATATGACAGACTTTGTAGAACAACACTTCGCTTTGGCTCTCTTATCCGTTGGTGCTGGTTGGCATTGTGGTAGTAATGAAATGTTGACGGAGCCTAAGGATAATGCTTTCAAAAGTGCTTTTTAATAAAGTCTGGGAGCCATGGTTTCAACAAATGGGAAATAATTAAGAAGCAATTATCAAAGCAAACAGAAATCTCGAGCAACTAGTCAAGCAATCGGAGTGCTTTCTCCAAGAAATTATTGCCATATACACACCATGAAAAATTGCTTTGGTTTTGACAAACTAGAAAAACAGAATCTGAACGGCATGGCTATTGCACCTTTGCACGAGGGTGGGTTCGAAGCCGCGCCCCCACACTGCCCTCCCCAAGTGGCCTTGCAAGGCTCAAATCTGGGGAGGGCAGCATGAGAAGGGCACAACAGCCACACACCCTTTGATCCCAGCCTTGCCAGCAAAGGCAAGGCTGGAACTGAAGGGTGCATGGCTGCCACAATTCTCTTACACCGCCCTCCCTGAGAGGTCTCACACAGCGGTGCAGGGATGGCTTGGGAAGGGCGGCAGGAGCAGTGCCCCCTTCCCAAAAAATGTGCCCAGGGTGATCAGCCCAGCAGTCTCCCCCGCCCTCTGCTATGCCCCTGATTCCTAGCACCCTTAATCTACAGCTCCCATCAATCTTTGGGGAAAGTCATGCGTTTTGAATGTAGGATGTGTATGCAGCTGTCCATTAACAGAAAGGAGGGGTGCTGAGGGAGTGCAAAACTATGGTGCAGTGCACATGAGAGCATGTGCAGAATGGAAGGTGAGAGGGGAAGGGACACCTGATTTTGGCCTCACCCAGGGCACCATATTACCAAAGTCTGCCCCTGCCTTTAGCACTTTGGGGTGCCATTCATCAGGTCCCAGAGAGCTTAATTGAGCGGCGCCCCAAAGTGCTAAAGGCAGTAGCTAGGTGTTCCCTTACCACTTCTTTTCCTAGGCTGCAACTCTCTCCCTACCTCATTTATGAATCAGTAAGTTCACCTTTAATTTGAACTGTATCAGATTTGCCCCCCATCCCTAACCCGGAGACACCAGGGATTAACCTGGGACCCTTGCTTTTTTATGCAAAGCACATGCTCTACCACTGAGCTACAGCCCTTCCTCAAATCTAAATAAATAAAAAACTAAATAACTCTGGCATTCCGACACATAAACCACATCCAGAACAACACCCCTCAAAAGCGCATTGATTATAAAGCCGCATCTGCTCGCAAAGCTATATCACAATAAAAGGAGAATGATTAATGGCGATGCAAAGGAGAGAAATGGCAGCAGACCCTTTTTGTTAAAGGGGGAAAATACAGTCCTGGAAAGAAAGAAATAGGCAGTCTTTGTTACTATTTATAACAAGCAAAGCTCTATAAATCGGATGCTCAGAATTTGCCACCACAAGACCACTATTCAAATATCTATTTTGGAGGATGCTGGCATAGCAAAATAATCTGGTTTTTTTCTTCCAAGTAGGGAAAAGGCTTTGAGATGTTATGACTACTGAGACAATATGTGGGGTGAAGGAAGGCTCCAGGTGCTTGCCCCATGTCTTGTCTAGGGCTGCTGCTGCATTCAATCCAAACACACACATATATATATCACCTCTGCCAGACAGCGGGGCCTTGTGGGGAAAGCGTGAAAGAGAGATAGCATTTGTAATGGAACTGTTCACCTTTCTGCAAATAAGGCTCTCCTCCACCTCCATGTTTATCATACTCAGATTTTTAATGCAAATTGCTGCAGAAATGTGAAAATTGGAAAAAACGAGAAACCGAAGGTAACAAAAACTGACAGATTCTATCGTCCCTATAGGCAACAGGGTCAAGCTACTGCACAATATGGAATCAAAACTTGCACAGCAAACTCCTGAACATCAGGATGGACTGCTGAATCATAGCAACAGCTCATGAAAGCACTCAGGCTTCAAGCCGTGCAGTGCCAGCTCCCTGCCATCATCACCACTGCCAGCAACAACAGTGGCAACTCATTCCTACATAAACAATAGCAAAAGACTCCATTCTTTTGACATATATATTATGCGTGTGAATCAATATCTTAAAATTCATTTTATTTCTGTTTCTTTCTCATCACGGCAACTTTAGTGTATTATTCAGAATTTTGCCCCATGCCAACACTTCTTTTAATATCACAGCTTTGCATTGCTTTTTCATCGAATAGTTTGCAAATGCTAATTACTACTCTGCATTATATTAAAAAAGCAGAATAGAACTGATTTGTCATGCACTGTAGTAAGAACCAGGAAAGCAAGTAATTACATCCTATTTCATGTATAATGCACAGCAAGGTTTCACACCTGAAATGTCAGGTCCTTTATTTACTAAGGGATATATATATATATATATATATATATATATACACACACACACACACACACACACACACACACACAGCATCTGCACTATAAAATCCAGTGCAGAGGAAGCTGTGAAAATGATATTTGTGTGTTTACAGAAAACACTTGCAGTTGTGTTTCTTATTAAATCAGCCCCCAAATTATGGCTTTTGACTGTCATATATGCAGAACAGAAATCAAATTGTATGAGCTGTCGGTTCAACCACTCCACATCTGTTCACCAATATATCATTTCAGCCCATTCTGTATTTTCCTTTTGATGGAGGATGCTGGAAAAATTAGCTGAGAAAACGAGGATGAAGCAATTTGTCTCACTGAACATTCTGTGAAGAAAATTTGAGTAGCAACTGGTGTTTGACCCGCCATCTTTGATTAGGCCAGTGATGCCTGCAAGTTTCAATGGTTACGGCCAAATTCAGGTTCATCACACAACTTGTTCTCTTTTTCTGCACTAATACAGAGCAGTAACAATAGTGCATCAAATATACTTGGGTGAAGTAGATATCTAGAAAATCATTATGATATAGTTGAAAATCCGGGTGCACAAATGCACAATGAGCCTTCACAGATACAGCAGGCTCCCTGTTCAGACAGTCACTTTCCTCAGATTGGAAGGTGATGAAAATGACAATGGGGTGCAGCTAGTGTACTGTCTCTTATTAGTAATGCTTGTAGAGAGCTCCTATGATTCTTCTTTGAGCATTCTTGGATAAATTGTAAATCCATGGCTTTTAAAAAAATCTTAGGCTAGTCTTTCACTAGGATGAGGAATGTATGTGCCTAATCAATATATCGAGCATAGGGGTTGCTAACCATGGTTCATAGGCTTACCTGATCACCAGGTTAATGTAATGAGGATAAGAAAACAGATGATGCTGCAAGATTTTGTCGGGTGTTAGATTAAGGTTACCAGATTTTTTTCAATGAATCCAGGGATACCTTTCAACTTCAATGGATTTTGTATGGGGACTGATGTGTAAATCCAGAGACTGTCCCCAGGAAACAGGGACGTCTGGTAACCTTATGTTAGATGGTGGCATCTTCCATCCTACATCCATTCTGCTGGTTTTACAGTTTACTACAGCTATTATAGCCCCCAAGCTCACAGTCCTTTTCTTTTCCATTTTCCATTATTAGCTCCAACAAAGTCATTTCTTCCTCCCCGTCACTTATCCCCACACCAGATGCCTCCAAGAATTCCCTGTTTTCCGGGGTTGCCAAGTCACCAGCTGATAACCAGAGTGACTGGCATGATTCATACAGGAAAGGAAAAGCTTCTCCAACACTTGAATTACACACATTTTAGACAATTCCATAAGAAAGGAGCTTTCAGAAGACAGGCATTTCCCACAGGTTTTGTAAGGTAATTTCAGCAGAACATCTTTCTAATTTTGCATGAACCGATCCCTCGGAAGCATTTTAAGGAGCCAACTGCAATAATGCACAAATATATGTTAACACAAACCTGACATATTTTTTCTAAAAGAAAAATAACATGCAGGTAAGTTTGAGTGAAGAATCAGTATGGAAGAGGTGTTAACCCTTTGCCTGCCCACTCTTTCTCTCCAAATGCCACTGTCCAGCTGCTCACTCCCTGCCCATCCCCAATGTTCTAAAAATGTGTTTTGAAAACACACTTCTGGAACCTCCTGGGGGTGGAAACACCAGTGGGTTGGTTTGGAACCAATAAATGTTGGGGGGGGTATGTTTCACCTTTTATATGCCTCTACATTTCTTTCTCCCCGAGCTGCTTTTCATTTTGACAAAATGGCCCCAGGGCTCAATTAGACATAGTTACTTGTAACAGGCCATTAGCCCATAAGTACACAAGGCAACAAGAAGTAACAAGTGAATGAACAAGTGTCACAAGGACAGCAATCCTTGAGAGGCCTCCTTTCTGGCTGCCTTAACCTATATAATCCAGTTAAAAGTTTAAATGCAGTAACATTGAAGGTTATCATCATGCATTAAACATGGCACTTTTCAGTGCAGATAAGAATAAGCAACAAGGATTCTGATTTATATACTTAACCTGCCGGAGCAATTACAAATCCTGTGAAACTCCCTTGTGCACCAGGTAATGGCATATATTTGAGTGTGTTTTGCTTATATATTTTGCCATCATTCCATAGAATTTTGTTTGGTGAACAAAGATAGGCAGGGAACTATTTTAGTAGCATTGTAAAAAAAAAGAAAAAAAAGATGCATTTTCCAGCAGTAACTGTATCAAGAACTACTATGTTCGAATGTTACAGAACCGATTGAAGCCCCATGCTATTGTCACTTCCTGATTCCTCTATGGACAGGATCACACTGATAATAGAGAAGGATGGATGTCATTCCATTTCTACTCGGTGCCATTTTCTTATGTGTTCTCTCACAAATCCATTCTGTCCAATTTCCACATTTACCTGTGTTCCAGACTATCTACATCATTTTGAATCTTCTGTAGTGTTAGCTGCACCAGCCAGTACTGTGTCATCTGCAAATCTGAAAAGCAGCCACTCTACTCATTTATGAAAAAGTTGAACCGCACAGACTAGTAATGTTATAGATAGATAGATGATAGATAGATAGATGATAGATAGATATAAGGTTGGTGTGGCATACCTTATTCCTGATAAACCCATGATGGCGTCTAGTAATCAATACATTATTTTCTAGGTACTGACCAACCATTTAAAAATCTGTTTCAGAATTTTGTCTGGTATACTCCTGCTGGTGTGGGTGTGTAGTTTTCCAGGAATTCTCAGAGTACATACAGCAGTCAAGTACTGTATACACAGGTGGCACTGTGGTCTAAACCACTGAGCCTCTTGGGCTTGCCGATCAGAAGGTTGGCAGTTCGAATCCGCATGACAGAGTGAGCTCCTGTTCCTCTACCCCAGCTTCTGCCAACCTAGCAGTTCGAAGCATGCCAGTGCAAGTAGATAAAGAGGTACCACTGTGGCAGGAAGGTAAATGGTGCTTCAGTGCGCTCTGGTTTCCATCATGGTGTTTTGTTGCGCCAGAAGTGGTTTAGTCATCCTGGCCATATGAAACCCAGAAAGCTGTCTGTGGACAAATGCCGGCTCCTTCGGCCTGAAAGCAAGATGAGTGCCACACCCCATTGTTGGCTTTGACTGGACTTAACTGTCCAGGGGTCCTTTACCTTTACCTTTTACCTTGCTGTATACCTCAGACTTTTTGTCTATGTGAATACAGACTTCCTGTACATATAAACTTCCTATGAATACAGACCACTTCCTGCAAAGTTAACTAAAGTGTCAAAATGTATGATTTGAAGCTTTTAAATATATTCACAAGTGGGTTGATTCTTATTTTTATTTTACAATTTTTTTTACCAAATGAATATTTATCATTGGGAATCACTGTAGGAACTGTGCATTAACTCACCTGTTCTCCTGAAGAGGCTCTGAGGGACCAGTCTATATTACTTTACCATTCTTCCCCCTTTCAAATGCTGCTCTCTTTATCTCTCTCTTTTCAGTTGATGGCTTTGAAATGTACAAGCTAACAGTTTTTGCTTGTAAACTCTAAAAGGTATTTGGCAAATGGTACCTGAAAAGCTTATTTGTTCACCTTCAGAGTGAAATTCATTTAGAGCAATGTGTGAACTCCCTCCCTCTCTCTTTCTCCCTCTCCACTGACTACATTATCTCTTTCTTCCCTTCCAAATTATTATTCTGTCAGCTTAGCTTCTGTTAGGGAGTTTTAATGGGGTTCTTAGA